CAACAGATAAATTTAAAGTTCGTTCACAGTCTTCTTCTTTATTCCTTGATTTAACGTCGGTTTCTGATCCACAATCTAGTGCCAATCACCGACGGACATCGGTGCCGGGACACTTCCGAAGGAAGACGTGACCAGAGATTTTCATACCTAAGAAAAATCCCACCGACCTCGGCTGAGATTGAATCCAGACCCAATTGGGGTGAGAAGCAGTCACGCTTACCACTACACCGCCGGCGCCGGCACATTTCTAGTCTAGTCTAAAGGGTGATACGGTCAAAATTTGGTCAATATCAACTTGACGTATTTCTTTCAATTTTGCATTTAAAAAACCTGAACACCCCTCATTTTGAAGGTGTGTGTGAGTAGAATGTTGCTCCTATTTTGATTTTGGAATTCACTCTTCAGTTGTCAAAATGCCGTCCAAGCAAGAAGAGCAGCGTATCAAAATTTTGCTCGCGCATCGCGAAAATCCGAGCTACTCGCATGCAAAGTTGGCAAAATCGCTAAAAGTTGCCAAATCAACCGTTACAAATGTAATTAAAGTGTTTGGGGAACGTTTGTCGACAGCCAGGAAGTCTGGATCGGGGGGAAATCGAAAACCGGAAGCCGCTGAGACGACAAAGAGAGTTGCCGGTAGTTTCAAGCGAAACCCTAACCTCTCTCTCCGAGATGCCGCAAATAAGCTGGGTGTATCGTCTACAACCGTGCATCGAGCCAAAAACGAGCCGGACTATCGACTTACAAGAAGGTAGTGACTCCAAATCGCGATGAAAAACAAAATACGACGGCCAAAGCGCGATCCCGGAGGCTGTACACGACGATGCTGACGAAGTTTGACTGCGTGGTAATGGACGACGAAACCTACGTCAAAGCCGACTACAAGCAGCTTCCGGGACAGGAGTTTTATACGGCAAAAGGAAGGGGAAAGGTAGCAGATGTTTTCAAGCACATGAAACTGTCAAAGTTCGCAAAGAAATATCTGGTTTGGCAAGCCATCTGTACCTGTGGCTTGAAAAGCAGCATTTTCATAGCTTCCGGGACTGTCAACCAAGAAATTTACGTGAAAGAGTGTTTGAATAAACGTCTGCTGCCTTTCCTGAAGAAACACGGTTGTTCCGTACTGTTTTGGCCGGATTTGGCATCTTGCCATTACGGTAAAAAGGCCATGAAGTGGTACGCCGCCAACAACGTGCAGGTGGTTCCCAAGGACAAGAACCCTCCCAACACGCCAGAGCTCCGCCCAATTGATAAATACTGGGCTATTGTCAAGCGGAACCTAAAGAAGACCAAAAAAACTGCTAAGGGCGAGCAGCAGTTCAAGGCAAACTGGCTTTCTGCGGCGAAGAAGGTGGACAAGGTGGCTGTACAAAATCTGATGGCAGGGGTCAAGCGTAAGGCCCGGCAATTCGGATTTGGAAAAGCGGAAGCCTAACTGAATATTTTCCTGAATTTTATACTAATTGAACTTGAAAAAGAAATTTAATTTGATTTTTTAAATAAACGATTTCACCGATTTACACGCGTTTTCCCTTGACCAAATTTTGACCGTATCACCCTTTAGTGTCACTTACATCCACAATTTGACAGAAGCAGACAGACAGAAGCACCCCTGACAAACTTGTATCATGATGAAAATTCCTTTTATTCAGAAATATGGGATCGAAATAGTACGTTATGATATACCCAGTAGGGGGTTTCCGATTGCACTGGATGACTGATTTCAATGTGCAACATAAAGTAAACGTTGTGTGGGATCCGTGTCAGGAAAGAGGCTGACATATTGAAGTACAACACTCAATCGGTAAGATATTCAATACTCATGATGGTGTATCAGGAATACCTTCGCAAGTCAAGATCAATGTGGCTGGCATCTGCCTCACAGGAAGATCAAATATAAACTATTCGATTTATTTTATGTTAAGAGCTGACTTGACGTGGTGTGATTTTGTACATCCATCCATTCAGTTCAGAGTACCTTCATATGAGTTTCATTTACTATAGCAAAAGAATTTATACTTTCTCACTTACACTTAATCTAACGGTTCCTTGGTGTACTACCTGCAAAAGAAGGAAACAAAAGACATATACACAAAAACAATTAACATCTTTAATTAGGGTATTAATTGAACAGATGGCTATGGCAAAACTATTTACCTTAATAATAAAGATCAAAATTCCGTAATCATTGGGCACAGAGGGATATTTCGTTAATCAAGCTGAGTCTATTTTTTCCTAAATTAATCAACATTGATTCAAAATTGGGTTCCTTACTTTTGAAAAAATAATCAGTATTTATATATTTGAAATAGCTGAGCCAAAGATATTTTTTTCGAACCCTCAATCGATTTTCAAATAAAGATTTAAACTAAATATTCACTTCACTGTTTGACAATAAATTAACAAACTGACAGCTCGCTCCCATACAAACTCTCACCGAGCGTCGTTAATATGGTGATTTTGGCTAATGTAATCGCACTTAATTAAAATAGTTCCAGTGTATCAAAACAGATGAAATTTTGGATTTCGGTTTCATTTTTAATAAAGATTATGAATATGCATTTTCCCCAATACCCTCAAAGAACCCAATTGGGGAAAATCATCTGCCTCTTTTGCGTCAGTATACAGCTCGTCACTGACAGTTGATAAATTCGGAAAAACCTGTGCCAATTTAGGCATGCAAACGTGTGAAGTTTCGTTCGAATTCGTTGGTGATTAATGCCACAATGAAGCTAAGATCATCACGTAGTGCAGTAACTGAGCTTCACAAACAAGAAAATCGTCGAGTATATATCGCTAGTATGTTGCAAATGCCAATACGAACTGTTCAAGATACAATAAAATGGTGTGATGGGCATCAAAATTTGTCACAAACATCCTTGGTTCGTTTTAAACCCAGATCTGTAGAGGAACGAACGTCCATCATCGATCAACATATATAAACGGGTGAAGGAGTGTGTGGCAGGCAAATGAGGACATTTCAAGAAATTAATGTAAATTCTACGAAGTACGTTAGTTTCCCAAAATATAGTGTGTTTTAATATACTAGCAATAAAAATAATAAAACTACGACCAAAACATTTAAGGTGGTTAATGTTTACTCTCCCTGTATATTTAAGAAATAGGAGAAAAATGATCTAAACTTTCATTTCTTATTCAAAGCTCACAACGTTGTGGTATCATTTCAAATTTGGCTGTTTTTTTTATGCAAGTTCACTCGAAGTGATCGTTGTAGTTGCTTCTGTAACAGGATGATTGAATCTGGTCGCAAAAAAATATACATATCAGTAGATTTATTTCAAATAGTTCGTCCATTTAAGCAGTTCGTCCATTCCAGCGATTTTTTTTAACTATGATTCCAATAGGGTTACGGGCTGAAAACTTAGGCTAGCCCCTCAACTCGGCCTATCATGCAAATAAATTCATTTTCAGCAATAAATCCCAATTTTAATTTCACTACTCATTTAAAATTGAGATCCGTAAACAAATCACTTAGTAGTGGGACGAATTGAGTACATTTTCTGCTCACTATCGTGCAGCGTGACAAACAACTGTCATACTAATCCTGTTACAACAACACTTCAATTCAATTCGTAATTTTAACATGTCATGTTAACATGTTTTAACATTTAATGTCTTTTTAATTCATCATTATTGAAAAAATACAAAGAATGTAATAATTACATTCAAGGTGTTTTTTTCTTGTTACTTCAAACCTGAAGTTTACGATTTTCAGAGTAGGTTGGAAATGCAATCTAACATAAAGCTTCAGTGTGATAATTTATTAGCAAGAGAAATGTCTGAAGAGAGTAAGTTGATAGTTCCGCTAGAGTATGGTAGTATGAAAGTTGAATAGAAATTGAAAATGAGCGAAGGGCCATTAATGTATTTTTACTAAAAATAACAAAAAAAAAAACTATACATATTTTTCCAAGAAGATTTTACTTTTCTCAATTGATGAATCTACGTTACGGTCGGCCAGCAGATGGAAATGATGTGAAAATGATAATGACGTTTTGCTAGCTGTCAAATCGTATGGAATATTTTTTAGTACATCATCACTTTTGTGGTTTTGGATTTCAGACCTAGGTGCACTGGTGCAGTTTCGCGTAGATTCATCAATAACTTTGTCTCAGACGACATTTCTATCAGAAGTTAAGTTTTCTTGCTAAATTTTATTGAAAAATTATAAAGAAACCATTTTGAAAAGCATTGCAAGATCCAACATGGCCGAATTTAATTTGAATGATTGCCCATAAAAAAACCATTATCCAAAGTTTCATGTGAATCGGAGAAGGACGAGTCGAATTAATTGCGAGTCGTCAATCAATTCGGACGCGATTTTCATAAGCTCCCACGCGATAAATAAAATAAATTAATATTGTTTTTATTTTACTTTATTGACCAAGCGTAATTTTTGCTAACGTCATGAGCTGCGAAATTTTTGCCTTCGACGCCTCTGCCGATTCGATAATGTGGACTTGTGCGGGATGTCCACGTGTGTTCCATGCTGCTTGCATCGGTGTTACTGTGCAGTCACAGACAGGGGTTCAATGCGGAAAAAGGAGAGGAAACTATAGTCGCTATATTCATAGTCTGGCGGATAGAATATCGATCCATCAAAAAGCGGAACCAATTCAATATATTTTAAACCAATAATTGAAAAGGTACTATCAACTTTTATGAACAAAACGTTAATTATTCTTTCCTCGCCAGTCGAACGCAAATTATCAGCATCATCGGATAGGGGAAACTTTTCTCAACCCAAGGATGGTGTTAGTTTGCGTAGGCGTGCCTTGAGTTACGAGAAAAGGGTTTCCGAAGTTTTGTTCGCAATTGCAGATGTGCTCTTTTCTGTTGTTGTTCGTGATTTGCTCGATTGGTTCCGCTATTTGACAGCTCAATTGGTTCCCGAGATTCTATCCGCCAGACTATGAATATAGCGACTATAGAGGAAACCGGTCACTTCATACATACTACCATGTTGCGAGGCTTGTCAAAAGAATGTTGAAGCAAATTTGGACTTCCACCGGCTGTCGGAGCAACAGAAAAACCTCACAGAGCAACTGAATGCCAACACGCAGGTGATTCATCAATTCACACTGCATCAGAGTAAACCCAGTATAGTCAATGAAGGGCTCGAGGTTCTGCTAACCAGCATAAAAAATGAGCTATCTGCAATAAACAAAAACAGCAGTTTAGCTGGCAGTGTAGTTACCATAAAAAGCACGTCACGTCTGTATTCGACTCTGCAATACAGGTAACCAATGACAGAATTTCAAAGTCGTTGGAATCTGTGACGTCTGGGCTGGCCGGTGATCTGCGTAATATCAACGCAGAAATATGTCAGCTCAATCAGCTGGCAATTGATGCAGCCGCCACATCAACAATGACTACTAACCCGATTCTAGAGCTCAATATTCTTGATGAGCTGAAGTCATTGTCAGCTCATATAATGACTTCGCAGAACCCCGCGCCTTCGCCCGAACCATCTGATCCATACACCAATTTGGAAGACGAAATAAACAACACCGACGTATGGCGTCTTCTAGGCACCAGAAAGGTATGGAGGACAGACTGGTGTCAATACGATGAGCGAAAAAATCGTCGTATTAAACTGTTTTTGGAAATAAAAGATGCCAAAGACATCATCATATTCAAAGAGGAAATATAGATATTTCATACTTGGTGTCATAAAAGCCTGCTACAATTCAATATAAAAAAATGTAACTCAATTACCATTAGTAGAATACGAATCCTCCCCGATATAAGAATCACTTTAGGAAACCAGATCGTAGAAAAGTGTGATAGAGTCAGGGATCTAGGTGTTATTTTGCACTCAAAACCAGGCATGGAAAATCATTTGCATTCATTTCGTGCATTCATTTACATTAATTTGCCTCTAACTTTTTTTTTCAACAACATTTCGCAAAATGATGTATAGAGCTACAACTTTTGTTAACAATTCAAATCCATATCTCTTATGCATGACGAACCAGAGCGAACAGAAGCCGCTACTGTTTTTCAGTGAATGTATTTTACATTCACTGAAAAACAGCAACAAGTTCTGCCCGTTTTAGTTCGTGATTCATAAGAGATACAAATTTCAGTTATGAGCAAAAGTTGTAGCTAATAACAAAACCTTTAAAAGCTCTATACATAATTTTGCGGAATGCTGTTGATGAATTGATGAAAGTTAGAGGCAAATGAATGCAAATGATGTTGCATGCCTGCTCAAAACGCACTTTCACCGATCATTCAAACACAATTCTTAACAGAGCTAACAACATGCTTGGTTTCATAAAACGTTTCAGTTATAACTTTCATGATCCGTATACGATAAAAATACATTGCTTATGTAAGGTCGATATTAGAATATTGCAGCATAGTTTGGTCTCCTTTTTCAATCACACTATGGACTTGGTAATTAAAAAAAAATTATAAAATTAGTATGATGAATTAGCAATAGCTTTAGTTGGCGGCGGTGGCTCTTCTTGACCTTCTACCCCCTGAGTAGTTAGTGTGAATAAGGGCGTCTATGTGATGTTTTGCTGTACCTAGTGCATCCTGTTCCCTTAACTTGTTGAGGACACCCTGTCTTGCCTCAAAAGTTACACTTTTTGAAGCACTAGTCTTCACAACATAAAGGACACAATTACGGAGCATGAGATTGGATCAAATTATTCGCAGTTCTACTTGCCAAACGCCCCCGGCTGGGTTAGGGATAGAGGATGACACACATACACACACACACTTTTTCAATCACACACGAATAAAGAATAGAGTGATGGACACATATAATAAGTACTGCGATAACATTGACTTTACAATGACAAAAACGTCAGCTAGAAGTAATGTTTTAACTTGTTCTCAATACATATTATAAAAATATAAACAAAGACAAAATTGTAAAAATAGCACTAAAGACAACAATTGTAAAACGGTCTACACTGATTGACGACAAATAAATAAATAAAAAACAAATATATTTAGAGCTATTTATCCTGGAACTGCTCTTTACCAAAAGGGCAGTCAGTCTGCATTCCCTTCCATGAAGAATAATTTCCCTCCATTAGCACCAGATACAGATATATAATTCGTCCCTTGTAATCCCATCTCCAACATCAACTCGGCGGTTCCACGCCGACAACTAAAGCTCTAGCTAAAAAAATCACAGTTGGAAGTGGAAATTGACATGATGCGTGGCCCACGCATTCAAACAGGTCATCTCCTTTCAATTTAGTGAACAGATGTGTAGTAGACCTTCCTGATAGGTGCCTTTGCTTGTGGTTGATGATAATTAAGTTAATGAAACTTTCCAACCCCTACTGTTTACTTCTTAAGTTACACGAATCCTCAGGTATGAATCATTAAAGCAACAACCCCAAAGATTAAACTTTGAAGAATCCTAGCTGACTACTTGGAAGAACATGTTGCGAAGGGTGGTTTCTTACGAGCGCAGTTTGACTAGGTTAGGGTTACATTTGAAGAAGCGAGGAGAATTTCGTAAGATGTGGTGTAAGTGGTTGTTCTTGAGACGCTTAGCAGAAAATTGTATATGCTCAACAGGTAAACTGTGCACACCCTTAATTGCATTGAAACAATCGTGGTGCAGAGGAGTCAGCATTCCAAATTCATGTTACTAATAAATTATATCGAGATGTCATGAATATCAAATGTGTTCGTTTACGCAGATTATCTCTTTTATATTGCCATTTCAGGGATAAAATTACAACGCATCTGACAACTACAGTACCTCTTAAAGCTGAGAATTTGACGCAAAATGTATTTTTTGTTTTGAATTGGCATTAATTAAAACATACACCAAATATAACCTAGTTGAGTTTTTTGTGTGCATACGTATCTTTTCAAACAGAGACAAATTTATTTACACACCGCAAATTACAAAAAAAAACCTCTAGGAAACAAATTCCTGCTAATGGTTGCGTGAAAATTTAATTAAGATACCCGCAAACATCCAGTGTTTTTTGCGGTTTTCTGCACTGCCACCACTAGCTGTGCTCTCATCTAAAACATCACACCATGTGGTGACCGTGGGAATTATGTAACTATGGCACAACATAGCAATGCACGAATACTCGTACTCACTTATGCTTTACGGTATCCTTGCCAGATGACATGCCTAAAGTACCTCATACTTAAGTAGCTGATTCAACCAGGAACATTTTATTCGAACAAGTAGGACGACACGACCAAAACCTTAGACAGACTTAAATTTGCTCGGATTGCTATTCTGCTGGGTGAATTTCAACATGGGAATGCAAATGGCTTTTTTGTCGTAACAGCAGGGTTGGTTCCACTCACTTCGCTGTAAAAAATAATTTGCAGTATTATGAAATCATTAGATGTTGTACATGTAAGTTACAAAGACACATGAAACCTGTCAATTTTGTTAAAAGAGAGTCACTATCAGTAATTTTATGAATCTTGAGCGTTCACTCAGAGTAAGCACTCACGTATCATAAAACTGCTAATTGTGACTCTCTGAAATCAAAATGGACAGATTTTATGTGTCAAACACATGCTTTACAACCACTTCTTGTACTACCATAAAATATCATTACAACATCGAATAATTTCATAATTTCAAAAAAGTATAGTGAGTAGAAGCAACCTTGCTTAACAGTAATAAAATCTTGAACGTGGGATAACATGCAGCGAAAGATGGTGTAAGTTAAATTTATTCTGAGAAAGGTGAATCTGCATAGGTATTTGCTAAGCTACATTGCCAATAAAGGGGTGCGGCACGAGCCCTAGTGAACAAAAATGATATCCAATAATACAGTAACGGTCCAATTTTGACAACTCAGATTTTTGTTTTCCTTTCCAGCATGAGGCTATCCGTAAAATACATAGGCGGTTAGAAGAGGGGATAGATCAAGCTCAAACTTTTGAAACGTGATGCAAAAATCGGCAGGCACGGTAATGGAATATCCACTTTAGAGCAGATGTTGATAATGAATAAAATTTACGAAGATTTATTTTGTTTACAGAAAACCGGAAAATGTGGGCTTTAACAAAATACCGACCTTTTCCGAAAATAAAATTTGTTACAATTCAGCATCATTGAAAGTGATAAATCTTCTGACAATCGAGAATAAATAAGAAATGTTCGAGTTGACCATCAGCTCATGGAATCCGCCATTAACCAGATGAAGTATTCTATCGCACCGAGCCCACATAGATTCCATCCATGTTAAAGAGTTGATGAGGTGTTCTAATTTAACCCTTGACGATTTTATTTAACATTATTCTATGCCAGACCCAACTTCCTTCTCATTGGAAAGTATCTGCAAGTGCCATAGAGTGACTGGATGACACCCGGGGCGAGCTATGCGTTAATCACTCCCTATCGTTATTATTTTATTCAACTTGAAAACGGAATTACAACACACATTTCAGCAGTACCACGCCAACTGACGAATTGATTCTATGTTTCCCTCTCTGAATTCCATGAAACATGGCTTAAATGTTCGCTAGGAGCAATGAACCGAGTTTGTACTGAAATTCAACCATTTTGACTATCGCCTAAAATGTTAAAATGGCGTATTAAAATGAAGTCTAAGACAACATTGTGGTAAACTGGTTTGCCATTTCAGAAAAAAATACACACTGAAAAAAAATGACGAAATTTCGTCCAATATAGTATATGCACCCCAAATCAGTTTCCTACAACTTGGTATCAGAAGTCATTTCAATTAGGTAAACCGTTTTCGTGCTATGGGTTAGGCCGTCGAAAATATTTAAATAAAAATGTCACCCTCCCCTTAAAACCTGCCACGAAATATCAAGGGGCACACAAAATAAGTATTAACAATTTTGTAGCGAAAACCGATGTTTTACAAAAATTGCCTCCCTCAGACCAACAATATTCCTAACTCATCTATAAAAGCTGGGAAAACTTAAGTTAAATTTGATTAATTGAAGTCGAAAACTTCTAATTATCAACACATGCATTTGGTTTCCTTTTTGTTTAAAAAAATATTGTTTTTATTTTATGTTTATTTAAAAGTGAAGCAGAGGCGTGAGCTGAAGGTGTACAAAGTAAAAAAGGTGCCCAATGGTAATGGTAAGCAAACTTTCATTGCAAAAGGATATGCTAAGGAGCTTTTCACCCAGTTTTTGCAAAAATTGTCTTGTATCATAATGAACGACGAAACATACGTGCTCGAAGACTTTCAACAGTATACGGGTTTGGTTTTTTACACTGCAGTGTTTCCGGACAAAGAAGCTTTCGAAGTTCACCAAAAAGTATTTGGTTTGCATGCCATATGTAGTTGCAGCCGGAAATCGAAAAATTTTCATCTGTACCGGCACTACCCAACAAACAATTTGTGCTGATTGAAGGCTAAACAAGCCATTTTTTAGCTGAAGAAGCATATTTTTGCCTGAATAAGCTCTTATTCTGCTTCCAATGTTTGTTGGGTATCACCCAAACAATACCATTTGTTTCTCATTGTGACTAAATGAAGGTCTAAATTATGGACAACGCATCGCATATAAAACTTCATTGTACCTTAAAAAGCGCAGAAGGTGGAGTCT